TATCCTGTCTCTACAGGATTATCTCCTATTTTGATGCATCTTCCACCCAATGCCCACTTCACCTGGGCTACCGGCTGGCTCCAAGACGCCCGCGTCGGTGAGTGGCCTCTCCCCGGCACCACTCTGGGAGCCGCAGAAGAGGTGTAGCAATAGCTATGCCTGGGCGAGTCGTCAGGGAGGGACAAAGAGGGGCAGGAGAGACCTTTTACGGTTCTGGGGAAAGGAATTTATTGGAGGACCACGTAGCAGATCTAGAGGTCAGGAGAGGGAACCGCAAAAGGCGGTTTGACACGTTCTACACAGGCTTAAATACGGGGGAGGCGCAAGGGGAGGGTACATGACTTTGACCAATTGCAGTTAATGGAGGGAGGTACCAAAGGCGGGGCAGGAGATACATTGAACCAGTAGGGAAACATGTGGGTGTCAACTGGGGTTCTACAACCAATCATCTAACGAAGTAGGGAGAACTTTCTCAAACTTGGGGCAGGGTTTGGGAGGATTGACAACGCTAGGGGCAGGGATTAGGGTGAGGGACAGGGAAGGATCTAGAAACTGGGAGTGGTTTAGGGTTGAAGGACAGTTGGGGAGGTGGGAAAGGACTAAACCATTATATACATCACTCAGGGGGACAAAACTGAGACAAACCATTAACATATGAGAAAAATTAACAGTAAACGACACAACACAACACTAGCCTATCAGTCACATTGTCTTATCACATCAGGGGTTAGCCACTATACAGTCAAAAGCTCAATTCTTCCATCTTCAAACTGGGCTTCAACAAAGCTCCCTGGTCTCCACAAATGGGGAATGATTCAAGTCATTATTCATTGGCCTCAGTGGGTGGTCCCATGGACACGAAGGATGACCTAGCACATCCAAGAGCTGAGCATTGCCCAGGCAAGGGCAGGCCTGGCCCAGCTGACTCACAGAGCAGCATCCAGCTCAGGCCAGCAGCAGCACGCACACCAATGCTGGCCATGCACCTTATCTACCACTCCTTGGGAAGAGCCCTCAGTGCCTTCCAGCCCCTTGGCATTAATGCCCTGCCGTGACAGCAGCGATGCTCCTGTTGAGGCGGGCACTCGGGACTGTGTGCAGGGTGTTTGCTGGCACCTGTGGTCCATGAAAATACATATTGATTTATTAATCTTTATATAATAAGAAAAAAATTTTGGTGTATCCATTTAGTTCACAGTGACCCGTGTTCCTCTTAAAATGGTGATGTCTTTAAACAAAATAGTGCTTTAAAAGAAGTTCATATAAATAAAAGCTTGTAAGTCAATGCACACTACTTCAATAGAAAATAATGTTTGTCAAATTATTGGATAATGAATTGCAGAAGAAAATTTTCACAATGCACTATATTTAGGAGGTATATAGTATTTTATACACTGACAAAACAGTGCATTTAAAACTAACCTTTACTGTTCTAGCAAACAAAATCTCCAGGCTCTGGCCTCGTGCTGGTAGCCAGGCACTGCTGCTGTCAGCTCTGAGCACCAGCAGTGCAGCTGAGAGAGCAGCACAGGGCGGCATGGCATGGATGGATGTAGGGAAAACACCTCTGGCATCCAGCCATCCCAAAGGCATCCTCCTTGGGATACTCTTGGCCGTGATTTATTGAGATTAGCATATGATTCACTTTCAGACAATTTTGTTAATACCGGACTTCATTCTTCTGCTTAGAAATATTTTGTTCAAGCAGTGTTGCAGGTGGTTTGCTCTTCATAAAACGTCACTAAACCATGTGAAAAAAAATTAGGTCTGGTTCATATTTTTACTATTAATATTTTGTCAATATTTTATACTTTTTCTTCAATAAAAAAGGCAATTTAACTCCATTAACTACAAAAAAAAAGGATTAAAATACAAAAAATTTGCAAGTAGCTAAGCTGACATAAAGTACAGTTCTAAATTTCAGAGAATATTATTATTATCTCTAAGCAGGTGACTAGCTACTGCCAGATATAAGAATTACGTCAGAAAACCATCTATATAGTTTCTAGTATATTTTCAAAGCAGAAATAGCTAACTTAGAAATCTACAAACCCAATGACTAATTACAATTCTTTTCCCCAAGATGACCTATCTTCACTTACCAACACTTACAGCTGACATTTCAACAGTCACTCAAGTTCACTGTATTTTTACAACTCTTTATAGTTTTGATTAAGCTGAATAGCATTCTCTAATATACTCTATATCTTTGTTATTAATGACACCTCCAGATAACTTAAAATGCTAAGAATACTCTAAAAAGCATAGAGCATAGAACTGAGAGGCACCATACCAGTAATGTCTCTTCATAAACTGAGTGTTTTTTCCTTTGCTTTGTTACCACTTATTTGGACAACCAGCTCCTAATAAGGATTATATATGTAGCTCAGCATGTGAACAAAACTGTTCTAATTTTAAATTCTGTATGCAACAAGGACATAAAGTAGTGGTCTGTTGAGCCCAAATCAATAGCCATTACAGCTGATAATTTGACATTAATTTGTATATGAAGTGGATTAAATACTTCAGTGATATATGTAAATATTTTAATGGTGAAATTTTCAAAATACAATGATGAATTAAAGTAATACAGTTTACATGAACCACATATAGTAGAAAGGTTACTGGTTGATACATCCAGCTTATAAATCCATACCTTTCTGACTGAGGAATCTGTTTGAATTTTAAAAGTTCTCATCCTTTGGAAGTTTTTAATAAAAAACCCAAACCAAACCAACAGCAAAACCCTGCATTGAAAATTGTACAGGATAAAGTCCCTTGCCCTTCAAGTCAGTAAAATAATTGTGAGTCTTGAAAAGACCAAAATATTATTATATTTCATGGTGAGAATTTTTGAAGAAATGAAACATTTCATAAGAACTTCTAGGCTACTAGAGCAAAAAAAAAGTGGAAAGCAAGTATGAAATTCTACACACAATTGGCTTGGGCTGGCAAGGAAATGAAAATACATATTGATTTATTAATCTTTATATAATAAGAAAAAAATTTTGGTGTATCCATTTAGTTCACAGTGACCCGTGTTCCTCTTAAAATGGTGATGTCTTTAAACAAAATAGTGCTTTAAAAGAAGTTCATATAAATAAAAGCTTGTAAGTCAATGCACACTACTTCAATAGAAAATAATGTTTGTCAAATTATTGGATAATGAATTGCAGAAGAAAATTTTCACAATGCACTATATTTAGGAGGTATATAGTATTTTATACATTGACAAAACAGTGCATTTAAAACTAACCTTTACTGTTCTAGCAAACAAAATTTTGATCCTGTAACCAGCTTGGTGCTCAGCAGAGAACAGTCGAGGAACCAGTTGAGGAAAAGCAGCAGCTTGACTCCAGTAGCATATCCAGATGGAAGGGTGTGTTACTGCATATCCATATGCAGGATATGATGCTGGCCAGGCAGGGACATTTTGAGCTCTCTGGTGAAGAGCTTACTCCAGACGGGCAGCTGTTTGGCTGTACTGATGTTCCAGGGTCTGTCAAAGCTACAACCTTTACTGCCAGCACCACGCTGCCTCAAAGCACCCTGCGTGTGCACACCTGGTGCACTGGGAGACAACCAGTTCTGGTTCTAGTGATGAACCTGGGGCATTGCTAACAACAACCAGCTGGCCTTGCAGCGCTGCAGTGAGAGAAAACTGAGCTTGCCATTACATCTGCCCAGTGACAAAGGACCAAGGGCTTCAGAAAGGTTTGACTGAGGCACACAGAGTGCTGGTTTGGAAGACATTCACCTCGTGGATCAGCAGGAGTGTGTCCAGCAGGACACAGGGCAACGCCTGTCTCCTGTACTCAGCGCTAGTAATCACTTGAATCCTGTATCCTGTATTCTGGGCCGATCAATTCAAGGACATTGAAGTGCTGGAGCATGTCCAGAGAAGGGCAACAGAGCTGGTGAAGGATCTGGAGCACAAGTCCTGTGAGGAGAGGCTGAGTGAGCTGGGGGTGTTTGGCCGGCAGAAAAGGAGGCTCAGGGTGAACCTTACACTCTCTAAAGCCGCCTGGAGGAGTGTGCAGCCAGGTGGGGATCAGCCTCTTTCCCAGGCAAGCAGAGACAGGACAAGAGGACACAGGTTTAATCTGTGCCAGAGGAGGTTTAGGTTGGACATTAGGAAGAATTGCTCACAAAATGGGTGACTAGACATTGGAATGGGTTGTCCAGTGAAGTGGTGAAGTCATTGACGCTGAAGGTGTTTAAAGAAAGACTGGATGTGGCATTCAGTGCCATGATCTAGGTGACAAGGTAGTGTTCGATCGTAGGCTGGAGTCGATGACCTCAGGACCCCTTCCAACCTCAAGGACGCCCAGATTCCCGGAGGGAAGCCGGCTGCCGCGCGCGCCTCCGCCCGATCCCGCCTCAGGGCGGGGGCGGTTCGGCGCGAGGAGGGCGGGGCCGCGCGCTCACGTCAGCCCGGCGGAGGCGGCCGCTGCAGCCGCCGCCGGCCCGGCCCGGCCGCTCCGGGAGGGGCCATGGTGGGAGCGGCATGAGCCCCGAGCCGGAGCCGGAGCCGCCACCAGCCCGGGACCCGGTGGCAAAGGACGAGGAGCTCTCGCCGCCGTCGTCGTCGTCGCCGCCGCCGCAGCCATCGTGGGAGGGCGGCGGCGGCGCCAGGTGGGGCGGCTGCATCATGCTAGTAAAGAGGGTCGGCCTGACGGCGGGCTGCTGTGGCGCGGTGAGTGCACGGTGGGAGCGGGGGCTCCGCGAGAGTGGCGGCGGCGGCGGGTGCTTGAGGATCCTGCCGGCCCTGAGGGCGGCGGCGCGTTGCGGGCTGGGCCGGGCAGCCCGTGGGTGTCGGTGCCCGGCCCGCCTGTGAGGGGTAGCTCCCCCTCAGCTGCCCGCCGAGACGTTTCCTGGAGCGTCCTGCCCCTGGATGCTGTGTGGAGGTCGGCGTGCGGCGGGTTCTTCGGGTCGGCCCTGCCTGTCCCTGACAGCCCAGTTACGAGTTTGTCCCGGGCAGAGTAATCTGAGTAGCCGCACCTGTGAACAGGTGGCTGTAAATAAGTTTTCTTTTAAAATATATGAATTCGAGGTGCCGGGAAGGTAAAACTTAATTTTTCCTTAGGAGTTCTTGGGGGTACTCCGTTTTGAACCTAACCCACGCCGTTACCCTGTGCTGTTTTTTTAAGCCGCTGTGCTTTCTGTTTCGTGTCTCCACACTAAGCACTGAGATCTTGTGCAAAAAAGGGAGCGGGAGTGAGTGATCCGTGAGCTCGCTGCAAAGTTGCGTTGGTAAATGTGGTAGTGGTGCGTAATTGCTTTCCGAAGGAAAGGGCTTAAGCCTTTCAGTACGTCAGTGTGCTCACAATGTGCCGTAAAACCAGATCAGAGGTCACATCCCTTGATCTTTCTCCTGTAGATGACAGGTGACTTCTTTCAGGCAGGATGGTACTGACTGAGGCGATATAACCCGTATTGTTTTGTTGGAGTTAGCCCAGAGGTCAAGATGGAGTGGAAGAACCCAGGGGGAGACACAAAGTAATAAAACAGGTGATCCTGGCACTGACAGTTTTTGAACGGGTACAGCTGCAAAACAAAGCAATGCCTTACCATGCCAAATCTTTTCTGGCAAGTTGAAATAATGTAATCTTTTTTTTTTTGCGTCAGAATTGGAAGCTGTTAATAACTTTTCTTGGGATATGTTTATGTTCATGTGTACCTGAATAATTTAGTGTTACTTAACTTACAAAGTTGGGTATGCTGGAAGCATTACATATGCCAAAAGTTATAAAGCAGAGTTAGGTTTCTGTCAGGGACCCAGCATCTCTTATGTGTGTTACCTGTCCTCCCAAAGATAAGCATCTCTGCTATCAGAGGTAGTGTGCTTTTTAATGTGAAAGTGGAGAAGTAATTTTAGCTGAACATTAACAATGTAGCATCGATGTGATATCATGGCTAGAGCTGGAGAATAAAAAAAAATCTTGAAACCATCTGTTCGATGCAATTGTATTCTTTCTACCTTACTTGTATTTGCTGAAGATTTTATGGTACTTTTAGTAGATGATTAACACAGAGAAGATGTAGAAAAATGTTGTTCTGTGGAATTCATTAGTAAAGTAATTTATTTTATGTAAGTTAATTCCAAAATAATCGCCTCACGCTTCTTAGAGTGTGTCACTTCTGTATTTGAGTCTTTTAGAAGGTTATGCCCTTCAAGAAGTGCAGCTAGAAGAAGCAGATGTCTGCTGAATGGTAGAATTGCTGTTCCAGGTTTGTGTACAGCAGTTCCCATTAAAGAGTATAGTGTATATGGGATCAAGTAACCCAATCTGAAGTCAGAGTACAAAAACATCTCTGAAAGAGTTTTGAAATGTTAATGTTTTAGTAAGAAACGGAAGGTTAAAGTTTTATCAGCTCAGAAGATATGGTGAAAGAAACAGAGGATTGATCTCACTAACAGTTGAATGTTTTGATGTATGAACAGAGGCTAGGAAATGGAAGGGTAGGGAAATTTAAAAAGAAATCAAAGAACTGATTTCTTTCTTTAATTTTGAAAAGTAAAACTCAAATGGAAATGAAATCCATAACTGACAAAGGTGCTAGCCCCTTTTTTATTAATGAATGGAATGTTTGGTAAAGTTGGAATAAGTCTGAAAAAAGTACTTTTAAGTACTTAATATATGCTCTTCTGCAAGTTTGAGAATTCAGTTTCAAAATCACATAAATTCTTAGTTTTGTAAAATGATCTGAGGCTTGGTTTTCCGAGTGTATTTTTTGTCCCTTCCCTCTTAGTTGTGCCCTTGGAGCACTTTGTGTTCCTGTAAAGCATCTCGTACAAGACAGAACGGCATGGGGCTCTAGATCTCAGTAGCGCAGTTATGTCACGTTAGGGTCAGCATCTGTTCCTGACTGAACAGTCTGTTTTGTAATTGCAATTCCTGCACCTTCCTGTGATTCTCACGTGGTTGTCATATTGCTACAACTCTCGCAGCCTAGACTTTATTGAAAGAGCTTATTCACAATAAAATATGAGGCGCTGGATCATGGCTTTAGATGTAGTTGCAGAGATCTGTTTGATATCAGTGGGAGTGCATTTGGAAGAGGAAGCTTGCTGCTTGGACTGCTGCTGAAGAAATAAATGGCAGAAGTGAAATTTTTGTGAGCTGCTTCTTTAGTCTCTGAAGAATGTTTTCATTTTTCATTTTTATTTTCTTTTTAGTATGACCAAGTCTGTCTGTGCAAGGCTTACTCCTTTTACTCTTCCAGCTTGGGTGTAAGAAGCTTCTGTTTTTTGATGTGATGATTCACCTTGTTGAATGCATTGGCTTCACTGAACTGAAGAGCTGAAACACAAGTGCTGAACAAATGGCTTCTTAAGAATTGAGTTACTGCCTCAAAATTAATAAGAACAATAGTATGTCTAACTAAATTCCAATGCAATTAAATAATTATTCTTGGCTGTATTACCATGACTTCAGTGAGCCTCAGAAATTTAAGTAAATGATGCCATTGGACATGTTGTCAGGTGTTATGCAATCTGGTTACATCTGAATTATGAATGCTGATAGTACAAAACTTAGCATGACATTCTGAATATTTGCACTATGCACCTCATTTCTGTGCAACAACCTATTGTCCGTAACATGACACACTAAGGAAACTTTTCAGCAAAATACAGTTTTATACTGTCTAAATAAGGTGTTTTTGTGAGAGAAGTCCTAAATAGGGTGTGAAAAGTCACAGGTATGTACCTCTTTGAGAGTTAATCAAGTGTTAGTTTCATGTTCTTGGACACTGTAAAACGCCTCAGCTATTATGAAGCCCAATACCTTTATATATTTTGGAAAGATAATATAAACATTCTGAGCTGTGGATCTTGGAAATTTGCTAGCCTTTATTATTTAAGCTGTTTTACATAGCAAAGCATAACTGTATGTACCCGAAAAATTACATATTCTTGCTGTGAGTGTTAACATTTTTCTTTTTTATATGCCATAAAAAATACAGCCCAGTAAAATGGAAGCAGCATGATTTAATGTTATGCGACTTTACTGAAACAGGTCTGAATTCAGTAAGCTGGTTTTATAAATTTCTAGCTTGTAGAATTTAAATTGTATTGCTGGTGGTAAAAACCTTGCTCATTTGTCAGTTCGGGTGCTTAGTCCTTTGTGGAGCACTGTTTTCTCCCACACAGGCTACTTTTACTGTTAAATCTGAATAATTAGATATGAACAATATTGCCTTCTCAAGACTGCCAATGCCATTCTAAATCTTCCCATCCTGTTAAATTGACATTAAGTCTGAACAGGAATGTTTATCTGCTCTGTTTAGAAACAAATCACTCTGGTTTATATTTTTGCTGAGAAGGCACTTCTGCTGTCGCAAGTCTACTGTTACTGATTCTCTGGATTACAACAGTGTGGATGATGTTGCATTCCAAGAGCAGTACTGTAGGCTACAGCAGTAATAACTTAAATTATCAAGTCATGGTTATATAATTAGTTGTGAATATTGAAACCTAGCCTACTGGACAAAGAGTTTGAGTAACTGCCTGCCCCATGGAGAAATATGTGTATTAACTAAGCAGCCAGGGCTTTTTAAAAGGATTTCTCAGTGTTGTACATATTTCTAAGTTTTACTTAAAAAAAAAGAAACAGATAAATTGGCTTCCAACTTGCTGTAGCGTAATATGCTGATTACATGTTATTTCTTTATGAAGTAGTTTAATTAAAGAATGAGGTACTGTGTAGAACAGAGCTTTCAGAATGTGGCAGGATATATGGCAATTGTTTCCTTGACTAGTCTTCCTACCTCAGTGGCTTCAGCCGTGAAGACTGAACCAGAAATGGTCTTCATGCTTTATGTGCCTTAGAAGATTTCCTGCTTCTAAACTTAAACAGGAATGTGTTCCCAGCAGGAAATACAATATGGGAAGACACTTTAGACCTCAAAAATAGATTGTGTGAAGACCCACCACATTTTTTCTTGTATTTTAGTATAAGGAGGTAGTGGCAAATTTTTCTTAACATCCTTCATGTCACTCTCAGTTCAATTAATCCCATTTGTATCTTTCTGCAGATATTTTTATTGCAGTTTGGAGGAAGATGCTTCAGCATTCCTCCATACATTTGGTAGTGTTCTTTTTCTTTCTGTGGGCCTGTTATGCTTCTGTAAAATAGACTTCAAAATGCATATTGCTTAAAGCTTCTGAATGAAACAGTCATGGGATAAGAGGAGGATCTTTATGTAGAGCTAATAAAAATGGTCAGAACATCAGAAGAGGATTAGCAAGGCAGGCACATCACATGTTAATGCAGTAATATAGTGATAATCTTTTCCCTAACAGGGAAAGTTCTTTTGTACGTACTTTAGTAAGCCGCTGCTGAATGCTGAAATAGCTTTTATTTAACTCTCTTTTTCTATGATCACATTACTATGTTGTAATTATCCTATATGCAGAATTAAAATAGTTTCTTCTTGTTTGCATTGTTTAATTAATATACATTCATTTCACATTGCCATTTAATTTGTTCAGTGGATTCCACAAACTTTTGTTATTCTTTACCACTGCCCCATAACTCTTCCAAAATGAACTGTATTTTGTTGTCAATGAACTTCGTCGTTTCACTTTCATCCTTTTTTACAGCTCACTTCTGAATGTGACATACATAGGTTCTAGGACAGAGCAGTAGGAGTCATCTGGTAATGTTGCTGTGCTGTATGAACAGATTGCAGTGGGTTTATTCTTTTAAATTGTCCTGGGGCTTTTTTGTATGTGTGTGTATGTTGGTTTTTTTTTGTTTGTTTGGGGGTTTTTTTGTTTGTTGGTTTTTTGTTTGTTTGATTTTTTTTTTTTTTTGGTGTGTGTGAGTTGGTTTGTTTCTTTACTTTCTTTTTCTTTTCTCTCTTTACTTTCTTTTTCTTTTCTCTCTTTACTTTCTTTTTCTTTTCTCTCTTTACTTTCTTTTTCTTTTCTCTCTTTACTTTCTTTTTCTTTTCAATTCCTGTGAAGAGTTTGCTTGCTTTAAGAGCCTTTAGTGAGCATCTTCGAATATG